CTCCATAGAAACTCTCTCTCTGGTTTGGAACTGAAATGGAATGTTTTCATGGCTTAAAACGTTAAATAAGCTGACATATCATATTTTTTACCCGACTCGGATTCTGCCCCGTCAGTCCCTAGTAAAACCCTCATAACTTTTTGCTATGATGTCGGTTTGATACAGGGTTTTGTGCATTGCAAACTAGACTCGTAGGCCTTCGATTTAATGGGTGATAGGCCTTCTATATCTTTATATATTGGAAGAAAATATCCAAAACATTTGACCCAAATTTTAGACAAATCTTTAAAAAGGAACTTACGATAACTTTCGCCAACTTTATTTTGCCACTTACTTAACTTCAAAACTTGAGATACAACCCTTGAACACTTAAAATATGACATATCACATCATTTTTAATTTATTACTCACCTTCTTTGTCTTTCCATGAAGATACGAGTTAATTTAGACGTTTTGGAAAGTCGGGATGTTACAATATTGACCTTTATAAAAGCGACCTCCATGGTGAAAAATAGCTATAATATGACCCATTTGTATAAAGTTGTAAGAAAATAACGATTTTACACTCATTGTGACAAAAAGATTCTACTTTGTATCAAAGATAAACTTTCAAAAGGGCAAAATCGAGGCATACCTGAACTAAATCGAGGAAGATGAACAGTTGATCATCAGGTTCAGCATAAATTTTGAACGATTTTCCCCTTTAATTCCCAGATTTTGATTCCCCTGATAACTTAGGTTTGAGATGATTTTGATTCACAATCGGGTGAAATGAACTGATGAAATGTTTTAACTCTTGTATATTAATTGAAATTAATTTTAATTTTTTTTAGTTCTAAAATGGACGTGTAAAATATTTAATTAGTTGGTAGCCATTGAGTGGCTCACTAATACACGTTGGAGCGTTTGCATTTCACGCTCTTTGGCTCCGAAAATCGTGTTTTTATTTATTTAAAGGTAGGATAGCTAAAGTGCCTATTTGTGCACTATGAAAATTGGAGGTCAAAGTTAAAATATGAAGCCAAGTTTAGGGTCCAATATATGTATTATGCCATTATTTTTTATGTATTGTTTGGCTTGGTGTATTAAAAATAATATGTATTATATACAAAAATTTATTTACTAAAATGTCCTCCAAGATTATGGTGGAAAAGATGTAAAAGTACTTTTGAAGGGTAATTGAGTCTTTATACAATAGAGTGCATAATTAATGCTCATACATAGAATGAAAAAATGTACCAAACAAAGGACTACTAGTACATAAAGTTAATGCATGCATAATTTTTGCTAATATACTTTACCAAACGACTCTTAACATGTCCTTAGAATCGGGATTCATCTATCAATTATTAGTGTTGAGTAGTAAGTTATGATGCATTGCACTATTCATGAATAACAAGTTATAAAGTGTTAGATATTTATCCTTTATGAATTAATTTCTAGTATTAAACACTTAAGCTTAGTAATCATATTTTGATTAATTTATTTTCACTCATATGATCTAGATTTTTTGTGTTTATTTAAATTTGATTTTTTAAAATAAATAAATATATATAGCTGTAAAATAGTGAGATGAATCTCTATTAATGTTATAATTCATGTTTTCTGTATTCATCAGTTTTTAAACAATAAAAATATTTAGTTGTATAGGTATCAGTTAGGGTGCCAATCTAGTATAGCACTGCTAATAGGACGGTCAGTCGATAGCGAAAGCAAAACTTCTCACATCTCTATGACTCTTTGTTCTCATGACCTCAAAATGATTGACTACATTCAATATATTTAGAGAGTTTTGTCAAAGTCTTGTGAAAGTATGCAATGTTTTGTGTTCTAACTTTTACTTGTGACTCTTACATGATATTTATAAAAACATATTGAAAAATAATCAAATTGTACCAATATAAAAATAAATCAATATGATAAGACAATTTTGTAATGTATAATTTGATTGAACGAAATAAAATAATCAAAATCAATATAACTATTTCTATAAAAATAACTAGTCAAACTATACCATTAACAACCCCAATTACTAGGGATATATGGGTGGACTATATAATCTATTACTAGTAGAGCAAGACTTGTGATATCAAGTTAACATATAATTAGAGCCGTCAAAATGGGCTTAGTCCATGGGGTCGGCCCAATCCTACACGTTATTAGGGTAGGGTTGGGATAGGATTTTTCAAGCCTATTTAAAATTAGAGCTTATAAGCCCTTGGCCCTTGAGGCTTGATCGGGGTTGAGCCGGGGTCGGCCCATGGGCCAAAACTTTTTATTCAAGAGTAATTTACAATAATCTCACTAGTATATAATCTAATAATTTAAATACACGCTATGTTGTAATATTATGAATCTTTGTATCTAGATACATGTATCTCAGAATATATGGTCTCAAAATTAGGTTAATTTGTTATAGATACATTCCATCAAAGTAGATTCGCATGTATCTAGGATACATATACAAATCTCGCACCCTCCCCTCCCTCCCATCTTGCTTGTCACTCTCTTATCTCACTCGCATATCTGGTATGCGAGATACATGTTAATTACACTAATTTTTTGCTAATGTTATTGAAACAACACCATTGTTTGTCATATTTGATTTGAAAAGCTTCTCATTTTTTTGATGTTATAGAATTACAGGTTTGAAAAGAAAAAAAATAAAAAATAAAATAAAAAGAAGGGTTAGCCCGCCCTAGCCCTTCAAATTCCTTGGCCCGTAAGGCTTGGGCCAGGTGGGGCTGGGCCGACCCTTTTTGACAGCTTTACATATAATAATAATTAAACTAACAATCACATATTTTATAAAATATTTAAGAGAAAATACATAAAAAAAACCCTGAACTTGGTCGGATAACTTGCTTTAGTACTTAAACTACACGGGCGTTTAAATACCTCCTTAACATCTTTGAAGTGATTTTTTTTCCACCATGAGACTATAACACCACTATCATCCGCCACATCATAGCCACGTAAGTGCCACATCATAACCACGTAGGCACCATGTCATTAATTTTTATTTCTTTTTTACTTATTCACTATTTCTTCTTAAACACTTTTTAAAATTAATTATATCAATTGATTAATTTATAAATGCATATCCCCCCCCTCTTTCTTCTTCCTTGTTGTTTACCATTATTCCAACCTTCAATACTTTCTTTTCTTCTTCTTCTTCTTCTTCTTCTTCACTATTCAACAATTTTTTAAGTCACTTTAAAGAAGAAAATTCACATTATCTTCTTCGAACCCTCCCAACGAATTTACTCTCTTGGAGAATGAATTTTTTTGAAAGTCAATTTTTCTTGACAACTCAAATAAGAAATGAAGATTGCATAAGAAAGTTGATCCAAAAAAATATAAATTTTATGTTACTTTTCTGAAAGTTGATCCAAAAAAATATAAATTTTATGAGCAATGTTTGAATGATCTAGAAATCAAAATGGGTCACTCAAAATTTAAGAAAATTTACATTTGCCAAATCGACACCAATTATAGAGTGAAATCGACGTCAATAAAATGACATTGGTATTGAATTTTATGGATTAGTAAAAGACTAGTGAAATCAAAATAGTGAATAGAGGTGGGGATGAAGATGGAGGAGGAGATGTTTCAATGGAGAAAGATGTGTATTGAGGAAGACAACAAAATGAAAAAAAATAAAAATTAAAGAAATTAAAAAGGGGACCTGCTAATTTCATTTACCTCTTAATTTTTTTTTACATATTTTAAAGATTTAATATATAAAAAAAACTATTTAAATAATTTGTTATATATTGGCCAATAAAATTACTTTAAAGAAGAAATTCACATTATCTTCTTCGAACCCTCCCAACGAATTTACTCTCTTGGAGAATGAATTTTTTTGAAAGTCAATTTTTCTTGACAACTCAAATAAGAAATGAAGATTGCATAAGAAAGTTGATCCAAAAAATATAAATTTTATGAGCAATGTTTGAATGATCTAGAAATCAAAATGGGTCACTCAAAATTTAAGAAAATTTACATTTGCCAAATCGACACCAATTATAGAGTGAAATCGACGTCAATAAAATGACATTGGTATTGAATTTTATGGATTAGTAAAAGACTAGTGAAATCAAAATAGTGAATAGAGGTGGGGATGAAGATGGAGGAGGAGATGTTTCAATGGAGAAAGATGTGTATTGAGGAAGACAACAAAATGAAAAAAAATAAAAATTAAAGAAATTAAAAAGGGGACCTGCTAATTTCATTTACCTCTTAATTTTTTTTTACATATTTTAAAGATTTAATATATAAAAAAAACTATTTAAATAATTTGTTATGTATTGGCCAATAAAAAAAGGTCACATGTAGGAATTTAAAAATTCAGCTTTTTTTTCACGCACTTTTAGGAGAGTGCACTCACTCTCTCTGCCACATCATCCCTTAGGAGGTGTTTTTAATCACTTGAAAGATGTTAAGGGAGGTATTTAAACACCCGTATAATTTAAGTGTTAAAGTAAGTTATGCTGCCAAGTTTAGGAGAATTTTTATGTATTTTCTCAATATGAATTTTTTGATATAATTATTGATTTGTATCATTTCATTTGAGCATATCATACGCTCATAGAATACAATAATAATTTCAATTGCAATGATAAATAGACAATGACCACATGCAATGATAGAGATGACAATAATAACACAATAACAATGCATTAGGAGTTTTCAAAAATTTGTATTGACACATAAATCTTATATAGGATTCTTCCATAGGAATTAGGATTATAAGATTTTAGAAAATGTAAGTTTTGAAGTAAAAGTACGAATGTGGTTGAATTTGAATCAATGGGTATCGCATAAATGTTTTTTTTTTTACTATCCTATATTTTTACTATTTTTGAATGAATTTCAAAAGATTGAATATTTATTGAGATATATTTTTTTTGAAAAAGTCAAATAATCTTCAACCTAATTGAAAGTTTTTAAAATTCATATTGGTCTCTTATTTTCCACAAGTGTATTGGTTAATTTTTGTATATTCTTTTTCAATTTTTGTAGCCGTGAAAGTGAAACATTTCTTCTTAGTTATAAACCCTAGTTAAACCCTTTCTTCTTCATCCATCTTACTTCACCACAAAAGAAATGGTGAGCAAAGCTATCTGTTTGAAGCTTCTCCGATCAACAACTTATCGCCGATGTTTCTCAACAGAAACGGCGGTGGCGGAGACCGTATCAACGCCGTCCATCAGCCAAAGAAAACGAATAAGCGACGGTCGCCGGAAATTGTCGGACCTTATCAATAGAGCAGACTCTGAATCTAACTTCAAAGATGCTTTAAACAAATTGGATAACGAAGGGGAATCCATACAAAAGCTAGACATTATTGGCTGTATCAACAATCTCCGTAGAACCGATAGGTTTGATCTTGCCCTTCAGGTATCTATCTTTCATCTCTGAGCATGTTTTTTTTTTCTCTCTAAGTAACTCAATTAAGTATTTACGATGATAAAGTTTACATTTTCCATGGAGATGTTTTTCCTGCAATTTCTTTTTTCATTTCCACTGTTTGTTTGTTGAATGGAAAATATTTTCTGAAAAATGTTTATTATGATTATTTAAGATGGATTGTAATGTCGAAGTGTTGATCGGAATGGTGAAGCATACTAAGAATACAAAGAAAAAATGACTTCCACAAGTCATTTAGTGTTTTCCAATTGAGTTTTCCTTGAAACATTTAGTGTTACAAATTTGTAAGTTTTTTCTAGTTCTTCATTGCTTTTCTCTTTGTTTGCGATTCAGAGTGGTTTTGTCAAATATTCATTACACTAACAATAGTTGGAGTCTCAAATAAATATGCTTGTTGACTTATTGTCTCCAATATAACATTTTTGCTTCAGATAGTAATTCCTTAACCTGCTATAAATCTCTCATTAACAAGATATAAATCAAGTTAATTTCGCTCATAAACTATTGTGCCTAGTCAACTAGGAGTACAAGTTCCAACTAAAAGTGGAAATTGGGGAATATTCTATGACTTGCATAGTGTCAATGCATTTGTGAGAACTATTGTGGAATTGAACCTCGATTTGATCAGAATGGAAAAGGAAAGTGATTGACAAAGAACAACATCACACTTAGTGTAATCCCACAAGTAGACTTTGAAGAGCTTGAGTGTTTCAATCCCGACTCACCTAAAAGAGAATAGTCGTTCTCTTTGCCACATCAACATCTAGGGGTAAAGACTATCAAATAGCCAAGTTCAGGGGAAATTAAGAATACTGATAGTTTAAGCTATATCGTTTATGTGTCATAATCTGAACTTGAGTTGACATACAAATTTTTTGCTCGTAATATCGTGTTTTTTATTTAGTGTCTTGGTCTTGACAAGTTAATAATGAATGAATATGCTATGATTGGGCAAATAGTTGTTTCATAATCACAACAGAAGATTTGTTTGTATTGGCTTTAGTCCAATTTTTTAGACTGTCTGCTGTATTCAATGACTCTATCCAATTCAATTCAATGACCCTTGTTTGAATTGGCTATATTACAGTGACTGGTGCTATTCAAACTATTCTTGTTTCATGAATCATATAATAGTCTTATCGAAGTTGATCTCCTTTTCTTTTACCCTTCAATTACATAAGCTGCTGTTTTTGTTTTGGACATATTGTCTTAATCAATGAACTTCCAAATGCAGCTGTCTGAATGGATGGAAAGCAGCAAAATTATGATCAGCAATGGTGATCGGGCAATACGGATACACCTTCTTGCCAACACAAAGGGAACAGATTCAGCCGAAATGTATTTTGACAGCCTGCAAGAATCTGAAAAAACTAGTAAGACCTATGGAGCACTTCTCAGCTCTTATTGCAGGCAGAAAATGTTTGATAAAGTGTCAAAGCTTTTTGAGAAGATGAAGGAGCTTAATTTTACATCTACTTTAAATTATAACAATGTGATATCTCTTCATTTAAGAAATGGCCAGCCTGAAAAAGTCTCTGCACTGGTTCAAGAAATGGAGCAGAGAAATATTGCAGTTGATATGTTCACCTATAATCAGTTGATGAACAGTTATGCTTTAGTGAAGGATATAGTATCAGTTGAGGCTGTTGTTGAAAAGATGGAAAAGCATCAGGTAAAGTTTGACTGGCTCACATATGGAAACCTAGCTGGGATATATATCAATACCGGCTACCTTGATAAGGCGAATGATATTCTCCAAAAGATGGAGAAAATGAAAGATATGCATGACCGTGAAGCTTTCCATACCTTAATCACATTATATCAGAAAACATCTAATCCATCAGGAGTCAATCGCTCATGGGAATTACTAAAGTCAGTTTTCCCAACTCCCAGCAAGTTTAGCTATCTCATCGTGCTTTTGGCTCTATCCAAACTGGGGGACTCGGAAACCCTTGAGAAACGTTTTAGAGAATGGGAGTCAGGTTGTAAATTCTATGACATCAGAGTTTCAAATGTGATGATGGAGTCCTATCTTGACAGAAATATGATCGAAGAAGCAAATTTGCTTTATCAGAATGTGTTGAAACAAGGCGTTGAACCCAACTTAAGGACTTACGATGCATTCACAAATTTCTATATAAAAAATTCGCAGATAGACTTTGCTCTGAAGTATTTGGAGATGGGTGCCAGCAAGGCAAATCCTAAGAAAAAAGTTTGGTTTCCTAAGGATGAATCCATCAAGATGTTTCTAGCTTATTTTGAGGACGACAATAATGACCCTGTTAGAGTTGAGAAGTTCTGCGAGATTATGAAGAAGATTAATCGCCTCGATTCCAGTGTTTATGACTCTCTTCTACGCCCAAACTCTGCAGCCTCTGAAGTGGAACTATGAACACCTTCATGGTCTTGAGGAAAACATGAGAGGCTCATTGCTCAAAGTTTCTCAACCCAGTCCAAGTGGTATGGAATCTGTCGATCTCGCTCTACACTTCCATGTTGCTATTTTTAATGCTCTTTGTACTTTACATTATTGAAGAACTATACTGATTTACCAAGAGAGTTATGTCAGCTCACTAATATTTCTCGCCCATTTTCAGTGCAGATAAAACTGCATACCTAACATGCTCTAATAAATTGAAACAAAAGGAGAATATATACACTTATAACCTATAGCTTGCAATGTTTGATGAATTAATGAACATGCACATTTTCTTGACACACTATTCTATATGCTTGAGTTGGAAATATGTGGTACTAGATGGGACAAAACTAGCACATGAAATTATAACTTGTTCAAATTTTTGAGTATTGATCCATCCATTTATTGGCTCTGACCTACTTATTTCAGCCCATCAAAATTTGGGCTGATGATATCTATGTGAAAAGAAGTGTTCCTTCCGATAAAAAATAATATAGCATGTCGCTCTTTTATTCCCCTGAATTATATAGATTTGACAAATTACTTCTAAAGGTCTACATCAAACTGGTGCTAGTTGATGAAAGTTATTTCAGAAACAAAAAAGTAAGCATGTAGAATATGTAGTCCAGTTATTGCTTTGCAATAACATCCAAGTTGTAAAGATAAAACTAATTTTGATGGAAAGGGAACAGAGTCTGTAATATGCTTTTGAAGGGAGGAAATGGGTAATAGTTTGACCCTTCACATATTGATGAAGGAAAACAATAAGTACATCGGTAATGAATTTCTTAATAAAAGATTGTGCAACTTGATTAAAAATTTAGCTCATGAGATAAAAATTGTCTATGATTATATAAGATCAGTCTTCCACACCTTATTGATGTAGGAGAATTCGAGTACAACATAATATAAGGGGCCAACATCAGGTAAATCAAGGATTAGGATGAGGCTGATTATGAAACCACATGTCGAAGTGTGTTAATCTTCTCATCTATAAAAGTTCAAATTTTTTCAGTATGCCAACTTATAAAAGTAAAACAAAATTGAGTTATCTCCTAATGAAATTGCAAATTCACTAATTCTGTCACTCAATGAGTATAAGATATGCACTTATTACAAAAGAATATTCCATGGCCATCCCTCTCTATAAAAATATAAAAAGGTAAAGACAAGACTAAAGATCAATGGGTTGAAAAGAGATGGCATTTTTCTTATGAACCCAATAAGCAACAAAAAAGGATACACCAAATGAAACAACAGATAACAGAAAAGCAAAACCATTGGCAGCATCCCAAGAGCTTCTTGATACCACTTTGATGCCTGCAGATGAACCAGGAGGAACATCTAGAGGTACCCAGTCACAACCAATCGTGTAATGTCCTGATCCGTGCCATGGATTTCCATCCTCCGGATACCAAAATGCAGCTGAAAACTTGCTTGGCTGACCGATAGTGAATTGCACATCCTACATCCCGCCAGCAAACTTAATTAATGCAGCCCTTTTAAACACGTATAGTATTTCCTTTTCAGCTGCTAATAAAGGGGGGAAAGCATGAAACAGCATGCCAACGGATGTTTTTAACAAGTGACTATTGACGATGTGGAATTGAAATTTTTATATCCTTTTGTGTCTTATTGACGATGTTTAGATACACGTGGGACTTTTTTTGTGTTTATATTCAATGCTGAGGTTTCTAATGTATGACAAAATTGCATTAAGACAATCGATAACATAAGAGCCTCAAAGAGACGAAAGACATCAGGATGATAGACTACCTGCTGAAGACGATCCATGGTTCTCAAAGCCCTAGAAAATTCAAAATAGAATGTTCCCTTCTGACCCTTTGTTGAATAAGGACTGTCTTCCTCAGAATAACCTGTCAACACAAGTTCATTTGAGAAATGAAGAGGCCGGAAGAAGAACCAACTTTTCAGCATCATCAAGAAGGAGCACTGAAGAAACCCAAGCTGATTTGACAAGGGTGAAGATGTTACCTGAATGGGTACTGAAACTGCTATGCCACCATGCACCCCTCCAGTCATTCTGGGCAGATGTATCATTTCCTAAGAACAAAAAAATAAGGGTAAGTACAAACAAACTCGAGTCAAAAGTCGCATGTCAAGAATGTTGTGTCCTGCTTATAGAATATAGCAGAAACAAGATCGCCAAAATCACAAGAATGAAGTGCATGCATATCATAGTCGAAGAAGACATGATGCCAAACATGTGTGCGTTAAAGTCCTCTTTCTTAAGAGACCACTTCTGAGTCAACAAGCAGGGGCTAGGATGAATTCAAGGTTTTCTCTTCCTTCAACCTCACTTAGACCTAATATGTCTATTTGATCATCCATCTGATATTACATTTCCACCATGGTAACAACAAGGTAGACCGTGATATTACATTTCCACCAGGGTAGCAACCAGATTTAGAAATACGATCTGATATTTTTTTCTATCGTTCAAATTATATGCTATATATGTAATTCATTAAAATATAATTTCTTTTTTAGTTGCATCTCACAGAACAGACACCAAGTCTTTAGGTGCATGGTAAGTGTCAATGAAATAAAAGAGAACAAAACAACAGCCAAGAAACAACCTAAATGGTTACTGTTATAGATCCGCAAAAATGAACCACATGAATTAAGGTCAGCTGTAAATTTTGTTACTTGCATCAGTCAAATTTTTCTTTCTATTCCTTTTTTCCGTTTGCTTCTATCCCCATTTACGAAGGACAATCAAGATCCAAGTATTAATTGATAAGTGATCAGTATAATACTCTAGTACAAGTTCCAGAGTTTGAGTGCCAATAACTCGAATGGCATTCTTACCTGTAGAACTAACCCCATCCAAATTCATACAGTGTGGGCTCCAAGCATATAAATCGACTAGATGACCAAATCTGTTGACAATGTGAACATAGTAAAGATAAGTTGGAGAATTCTCTAAGTGTTTATGAAACAAGATAATAGTGTATCCAAATTTACCTGTCTCCCCCATTACCATCTCTGTTGTCGACTGGGTTTCCACCATACAATCTGCCAGGGATAGCATTTCCAATTGAGAAGTGCATGATATCGACTTCGTGCCCACGACAAGTTTTTTTGTTGCATACATCAGGTGATTGCTTACACCCACCCATCTATTCCGACAAATTTAATCCACATTTTAGGCAATAAAAGATACCAAACAGACACACAAGAAATTAAAGCTGTATTTTCCTTTTCTGGATAGACATTTACTGCAGTTAGCATAACCCGTAAATAAACGAGTACAACTTACACTATGATATGTGGCACTCTCACCAACTTGAAACATCAGTGCTACAGATGGGCAATTCTTGTCATTTCTGCATCATTAAAAAGAAATCCTAAGTATGGTGGCATGAAATAAACAATATACCATAATTAAGTTGATAACATGTTACATCTGTTGTACAAGTACCATATAAAAAATATGAAGTAAGTCAGTAACTCAGACATAAAATATAGAGAGTTAACAATCACAAAATATAGAGAGTTACCCACTCATGTAACACAGCGGAACTTGTGATGAAAGTATGAAACAAGTCAGAGCAGTTTCAATCCCCAGGATGTGCATATCTGAGACCTCAGTTTAATAGAGAGGAAGAAATTAAAGGTGCAAGCTTTTTGGAGGATGATAACATGTATTTTCCATGCATTACATTTCAGAACTTCTATTGTATGTTGTACACACAAATAAGATAGAATATCTATTATTTCTATGTAGACACCTCTTTAAGCAGTTTTACAAGTTTCAATTACCTTGGCCTAACTACATGCACTTCATCCCACAAAGAAGAAAGTTATTCAATAAAAAACAAAACCTTCCCCTTAAGAATCAAAAAGTATACACCGTGTGCACATAGTTTTAAGATGTGATTGACCAGGCTTGACGAAAGATAAGGAAAGAAAGTACTCATGAAGGTTCTGCAATATTTGAGTTGCATGAAAGTATTATTAAAACGATTGTTAAAAGGTGTAAGGAAGATTAATTTAACATCAAAATTAGGAGGACTTGAGCAAGGAAAGAAGAAGCTGAGCTTAAACTGATCAGGTAACTGCCCATATTTACATACTTAGAATGACGTATTGTACATATTTAATGTGTCACTAATTATAGGCTATAAGCATGAACTAAAAACAACCGCCAAAAAGAGGAGAAGATTCAAGTATTTGAGTTTATGAGACCTAGAAGAGGTCTATGTATGGATTTAGCAGTTGGATTCATCATCACTTTCTTTTAGATAAGTAGGATTCATTGTCACATAGATCTCATGATTCAGGAATATGGTAAGTAGTATGGGCACGGGTGTCAATATGTGCTTAATAGATGTATAATATTTTTGGTGTGTGTACAAACTTCAAAATCGAAACTTAAAACCTAGTCAAACTATTGTTGTCGGCCATATTTGTAGTCCATACATCCCATGTGAACTAGACGAATCCGGTATGCATACCATACCAACACCTACACCTACACCCAAGTCAAGTAAGATTGGAACAGGTGGTTGGGCAAGTTGAATGATCCATGTGAAATAGGGAAGAAGTTTGTCATTAATTTTATATTTATATCTATAGAATTCCTATAAAGAGGGAGGGCTATTTATATCTTTTTTATGCCCCAAAAGTTTCGTAAAAGGTCCTAAAAAAAGGGAGCAACGTAACATGAAAAATTCTTTAAGGACTGAAAACAAAAAATAGTGATTCAACTTCCTAACATCAATGAAAACCATAAATGGCGGATGTAAAAAAAAGAAAAAATCCCAACATGCCCTCAGACATCAATTTTCCAGTAGTTCTTTTTTGGATAATGAAGTAATCCAGTGAGTGAGAATTCTGATACAAAAGCCATCTCTTGCATTTGTGACAAATCAAAAGATTGAATTATTCACCATCATATTTCATAACAACAGTTACAGAAGCTAGTAGCCATAAGTAATGACTTCAGGATGATTAGGCATGAGTACATAATGACTTATTGAGAAAATGCACGAGTCTTTATACCAAAAAAGGAGAAAAAGATCATGCACACTTTTCCTTTTTGTACAAAACATACTAATAGTCTTTATTCTACAGTCCTCCAACTCTATATAGCATTATCCATAACATTATTTGAGACAACGACTATGTGATAAAAGTATACCAGTGCAGATAGAAATGATCTGCTAGGGCACATGCTTGCAGTAATTGTCGACTGACCGTGATGGAAGGCTCTTCGACAATGTTACAGAAATCATAATGTTTCCCCCACCCCAACCTTGAAAGGTAGTATAGTATACCTAGATTTTTAGCCTATGTAAGTTAATATTAGTCAAATCATTTTTAGAAGTAAATAAAGCACATTTTCCATGCATCACCTCATCTTACAACCTTCCACTTTGAACCACAGTTTTCAGGAAATCTTATTTTGTTACATGGTACAAATATTACTGAGAATGATGCTCCTTATGTCTACTTACTAATACCACTTGAATGCTACCTTGAATTTATTTGGGCAAATGTCAAGCACTGTCAACTCTTTGTCTCTCTCATCTTGTTCTCTTGTCTTTATCCTAAACATTCCCTCATGCTAATACACTAGTCTTTTTCCATTCGTTTTAGTTCATTTCAAACTTTACTAGACCTAAGAAAATCTTCCCCACTAAAGTATTGAGGCACTTAAGCTTAATCCAGTGTGACTTTCTTTTCTTTTTTTATTATTTTAAGAGTTCATCTCTAACTCCCAAATCCGGCTTCCCTTCTTCCCAACCACAACTAGGGAATAGTGCACATCCTTGCAAACAAAGCCTTACATGTCAATATTGAATAACCCTCAAAATTTAGGTAGAAAACAACGTAAACCTGGCAGATCCTGCATTTTTTTCAGAGACAACACAAAGGATATAGCTCATGAGGTGAGGATTGCCCAAGACTGTATAAGGAGACAAGAACTTATTCCCTCAATCAGTGTGGGACAATGTAATAGAGGTGAAGGAGGAAGTAAGGGAACGATCATATGACATCTTTATGATGCATGAATAGGGAAAGGTGGAGGGAGGCACCCTGTTCATGCAATATCATTTCTACAGCCGTACAGATGGAAATATGTTTTGCTCTTATTCCTAATTAGTTTGATTTTGACAATTTTCGTTTATCTGTTTCCTAATTGATTTACAATTTCATTGAGTTTAATTTATTTTTAAGGAGTTCGTTGAACAACAAGAAATCATAGTACATCTTTTTTCCTAAAAATAGAGCAAGCTACAAGATATATTAAAATCATTAAACTTCTAATTATGGAGTTTACCCGTTCGCTATCGAGTTTTATAGTCGAGCTATTTTTATTTTTATGTTTGCTTTATTAACACAACACTCTAGGTTTTTCTTGGTCTTCCCATGATATACTAGTCTTTGAGATGAATTGAAGTAGATGTCTTCCTCCCGCACTCCTACTTAAATTTCCTAAAGTATGAGAGGATACATGAGAATTCACTTTCAACTGAACCACCAATCATTTGCACCTTGGAAATTGTTCCTTCATCTGTCTCATACTTGCAATGATAGGTTATCACACTGCTAAAGCTGCAATCTTTGAAACGAAAGTTCCATAAAATTCATAATATGCATTGCAAATGCCTCTATTTGCAGTAAAAGATCTCTATTACACTTACCCCCAGAATAAATGTAAGATATCAGATATAGGATATTTATATTCTTCTTAGCACCCTTTCTTTAGAAGAAATCCATTAGAATAAATTACACAAATTTGTTTTTCAGCAAAAAAATCTATATCGGGAAGTCTCTCAAACCTAAGGAGTAGCATTGCATAGATTCACCGACATCAAAAGAAAGGTGACTTCAAGTTTCTAAAGAAGCATGAAATCCCTTTAGGATTTAGCATCTTAAAGAAAGAAAAGAAAAGCACCACCACCAAGCAATTTTTGCTGTGATGTTAACTCAATTCCAAATAAGGTATGTACGTAGTTAATAATCAATTTTCCAATAAGCAACAGTCTAAAAACAGGAATAGTTCCAGCACAAGAATCATACAGTGGTCACTAATTAAATCCCACAAGTAACATAATGATAAGTAATTATTGATAGCAGTTACTCACCCTTTCTTGTATACATATTCTCCATCTACTTTCAACAAAAAGTAGACATCTTTGCCATCGTGCAAAGCCTAATCAAGAAACCCACTAAAATCAAGTAAGCAAACCAAGAAAACAAAACAAAACAAAAAAAAAAGAAAACAAACCCATTACCTTAACGGTCATCTTTCCCCCTTTATATTCATGGTCATGATCTGGGTCAAGAGCAGGAAGTAGAGAAAACTCAAATCCTTCAATATTGTCCCAGTCATCCGCGTGTCCATCAAGGGTTACGACTCCAGGCATGAACTCCGCAGAAATACGGGATTCTTCGTCGGTTTCGCAATGCCAGTTGCCGGATTCTTGATGGGAAGAGACGAATTGGATCCCAATTGAGAATAATAAGAAGAGTGTTAGGAACAGGGGTTGCTCCATTTTGGTGGAAATTGAAGATTTTGTGTGTGTGTTGGTGGGGTTTTGGATAAATCAAGAGTTGACTCGACTCAGTAGAACCGGCTGCCATGGAAGAAGATGGACGTTAATTTAGAGTAGTACAAAATGTTCAATGTTTGTACTACATCTGTTTTTTCTCGGATCTTTCCTTTTAATCACTTTCTTATTTTGTTTCTTATTAAAGAAATTTATAAATAAGTAGATAATTTTATCAATTCACGCTTTAAAAAACTTATTGAAATTTTACAAATAAATGTAAACACTTTAAAAAAGAATAAATTGTAAGGATAATATAGAAATAATTTAATTAATGTTTTCTTAATTTAGTAAAGTGAACACATGAAAAATATTTTTTAAGACCAACCATCAAATCTTCTTGTATGAAGTTAAACGTAGACAAAACGAACCTTCATAAAGAAAAAGTTGTTGCAACATTAATACATTCAATCTAAAGGTTTGATTAGATTTTAAAATATTCTTATAGATTGGTATAATTTAAATGAACTTATATTATATACACCATCAGTATAATTATTTTTTATATAACTTCAACTTGTTTCAAATTGTGGTGTTTGATACCTGGTGGCATTTCTACCTTCAACATCAAAGAATGCAATTCTTTCTTTTCTTTTTATTTCCTTTTCTATTATACATTTTATGCAAAAACTTGATTAAGAATTTACCCCCAATTTTTATTTTTTATAAACATTTTTTGGTTGAAAAAGAGTTTTTGCAATAGAATAGATAACCAACTCATTTACAGGCTCGGGGGAACATTAACGAATTACGGGCCAAGCACCAAATAATTTGGGCTTTAACTAAAATGGCCCATCATGTATCATAAGGCCCACATCAATGATGAGAGTGGGCCCATTTAATACCAAAGGGCCTTTGTTTGCTTCTAATGGATACAGATCCCTTTTCATCTGGGGGAATGGGTAACTGGCCCAATAATAAGACAATTCATGGGGCCCATAAAGCAAAAGAATCTTTTCTCCTTTTCCTTTATTTGGTATTAAATGAGTCACAAAGGGGAAAAAAGTACCTAAAATGACGTAATAAAAAAATCAGTCAAGTACCATGTCATGTTGAAAAGACATTTGAGTTAACGTACTTGAAATCAAAGAGTAAAATCTGGCGGTGGTAAGATGACGTTGGAAAAAAGATCAGACGGCTGAGAACGACTGATATTTTAGCAAAATCCCGCGGGAGGCACGGGAGCTTTATTAGTAAGAGAGAGAGAGAGATGGGACATGTCTCTGTGAGAGTGAGTTAAAAAAGCAGTGTTTTCGTATTTTTTTCGTCTCAATTTATCTGATATCATCAATTTTAAGAATAAATTAGAAAAAATTAATACAACTTATATGGATGTAAATTGTTTGATAAAATAAATAGTTTAAAGTATTTTAGAAAAACTAAATAAATATATTTTTGTTTTTCATGTTTTTACATGCCACATGCAAGTAGTACGGTTAAGATTTGAGAGGTCTTTTGACTTCTTCACAGTTTTACGTTGAATTACTATTCGTTTTTTCCTTTCACTTGGTTTTGATATTGAGTAGACACTCATCGGTCATCTCCATATGACCTATAAGTGATGAGTTCGAGTCATTTGGCTTTTAATTGTAAATGTTTGCGTTCTAGGCAAAGTTGTACTTGAATACTTACATAAAATGTCACCTCCATCCCTAGGTTTTCTTTTTTTTTAGTCTTACATTACTTATTGACTCTCAAAATTTATTTTTTTCAAATATCATCTCAAAATATACTACTATTATTATTTATATCTTACATTAGTTATAAATTGTAGTTTGAGAGTCTATAAGCAGATACGTATTTAGGATTTTGAGATGATGAACGCACTATTACAAAAAGGTGGATTTAAGATATAAATTTTGATCGATTTGACATTTAGGTTCTTTCACTGAAATCATTAAAATTCTAAAATTATAGGTCCAAAATTATTTTTTATCTATCAAAACCACTCAGAGAGGTGTCACCCAATTTTTTTTTTTAAAAATAAAACAAGATAGATAAAGATTCATATTTCTAACCTCACTTAGATAGGTGCAACCAATCATCATCGCACGACATTTTATGATACTTCGACTGTGGGTTCACACATCTATATTTAAATATTTTTTTAAAAAAATATGACACTACTATATATGATTTCGAAAGGGGAGCATGGGTTTAGATGAACTGGGTGACCCCCTCGTGGATACGCCTCTGTGACCATAAGTTATGTAAGATAAGAAAAAAACTTGTCTAATAATTGCTATATTAAAATATTTTTGTATTTTCACATGCATGTTCTTGGTAAAAAAGAAATATTCACCTTGCAAAACTTTGCTTGAAATTACAGAAAGAGAGGATACATGTCTGCTTTAGATGAAAGGAAGTAGTACTAGACTAAACTAATAACAAGATTAGATTGAAAGGAATACATAGAAAATGGATCCAATATTATATCTACCTTAATTAGCATGTACAAAAATACACACTCATGAGACTTTTCTAATTGTCTATTATTTTAAGTTTTTGCATTGCCACATCCTGGACCTCCTAGTGTGAGCACCACTCCTTCAAGTTCACTTCTTTTCTGTGTATCCTTCTCTAGTTGATGAGATGATCTCATCACTGATGATGTTGATCTTCTAATTGGTACTTTCCCTATGCTCTGTCGTCCGAGTTCTGGAACTTGCATTTGCACCAACTGCTGAGGTTGCCTTCGACAACCCAGACTTATATGATTCGTGTGTATGTTTGCATAGTTGACACCAATATGTCCCGGAGAGGGTGAAGGATTCTGACCAAGGACGGGTCCTCGTGGTACTAGATCAGGTGCCTTTTTTATAAGAAGAATCGAATGGATGATGAGTTTGAGGTACTAATTGACAATTTGGTTAAATTGAATGGTATATGAGCTTACCGGAGCAAACAGAACACCTCGAAAGATCTTTCCATTAACAATGGCAGTCATTAGATAACCAGAGTCAAATGCTCCATCGACTTTTCCCCGGATCTCAGCTCCAATCTGAGTAGTACATGCATTATATATAGAGCACATTAGGTTCTTATTCAACGTAAAAGTTGGAAAATGCTACAATGAACAAACAGTAAATGACTTAACAAAATTTTGCTAACTTGAACGACGTACCAAGTTGTGGAATCGTCCAGGCTCTAAGGATTGGCATTGCACTTCCTGCTTATCCATAAGAACGGCAGGTAAATGTCCTGATGAGTTTGACGGATTTGGTTGTTCTCGAAATAATTGCAAATCATGAGGATTCCTTGCTATGACATTCCTCGGGTTTGGTTGGCAGTTGTTTGGGATCAAATGTTGCTGCCTTGCGAAAGGAAACCGATCTGATGCAGTTCCAGAACCAGAGACTGGCTTAATAGTACTCATTTCTACATCGGATTGGGACTGAGGAGAACAACGTTGAGATAGAGAAGGAGACTGATCTTCTTCTTGATCTGACTCCAGATTAAATATGTGTGAATTGTGACTCATTCTTCTCCTCTTTGGATGCAATGTGTCTTCCAAAATACATGAGAGTTATAAGTTAGTCATGCTTACTTCATTTATTGAAACTACTGGCTGCTAACATGACAAAATCATTTCATAACCTACCAGAACTAAATCGAAAAGCTGCTTTTGATACGAACTCATGTTCTTGAGATCCCGTCATTTGTATATCTTCCTTCTTTCCCCTACATATAGCTTCCTGCCAAATCAATTTATACGAATCAGAAAAGTAATCTTAAATTGTTTAAATTTATGAGAAAGGAATCAAGGTTTCGGTCTATTATACCGAGTTATTGTCTCTTTCTCTCAGAAATCTTTTCTTATCATAATGACTTGTATTTCCAGAAACCCTGCCACCAGATAAGCTGCTAGTCCCATTAGGATATTCTACTCCGAACTGCAAAATAAGTAACTCATTGAGTGGTCGCTCATCCTCGCCGCACCTGCAAGGTTGAAGAAACAAAATTTAAAGCTATACAATCTACTGGGATTAGGCAGGAAAAAATGGACCACAACTGATATAAAAAACTCACCCTCCATAGATTACAATATCCGTGTTCCGGGAAGCAGCAGTATGAGAAAATCGCCCCTGTGGTTTTTGGCCCATTACATCAAGCTGAGTCCATGAAGAATTTATCACATCAAGAACCCAAACATCATTGTAGTATTTCTTGTCTCCAACTCCACCAATCACATATACCTGTAGAACATCGAATTTCAACATCATTCTCCAGAGGATTGCTCAATGAAAAATAAAGCTTTACTCCATTTGCATTACATATGCTAAAAATAAAGAGCCTAATTACTCAAAGGCTAAAGCATCAGTTACTTGCCTTTGACCCAAAATACACTGAGGCATGACCGGCTCGAGCACCAGGCGACGGTCCAAGAACATCCAGCTGGTAAGAAAGAGAACCAATTGTCATCTAACATAATTTTTAGACAATATTTACTCTACATCTAGACTGTGAATCAATAAGAAGACTGAAGCTAGTACCTTTGACCACATTAGTGTATCCATATCAAGCACATCAACATCACCTTGATATCGGTCACCACAATCTCCGCCATATATAAAAAGCCTATTACCAATCGCAACAGCACTGTGACTATCCCTAGGAACAGGCATTTCACCCCTCACTTCAGGAGACGACCACCTCATAGTTTTGAGGTCCAAAACATGTAAATCATTCAAATAGTTTGCCTCGCCTTCACCACTACCACCAAAGATCACTAATTTATCACCACCAACGAGAGTAGCCGTGTGACTTTCACGAGGTGAAGGTGGATTGCCTTGACATTCGAGTTGAGTCCATTCTTGGCTCCTGACATCCAATACATGAATATCATTGACCTTCCTTGAGCCATTTGTACCCCCAAATACCACCATCCTGTGACCAACAAGAACAGCACTGTGGCTATCTCTTGGCCCCGGTCCTTGCCCTGTTGTCACAAGAATGCTCCAAGCCATTGCCTCAAGATTTAGTACAAGTACATCACTAAAATGTAAGCCCCCGCGACATCCCTGAAACAGAGAAATACAATTTAATTAAGGTATATTTAACTGGAGTTGAATATATCAACCATTTCACACATAAATTTGTC